GTTGGTCGAACAAAGTTAGCCGTACATAACAAGTAGGCGGTATAGATTTCAATATCTATTAAGCACATTCGGGTCACGAAGATGTTGCTGGCAACAAGTGTCAGCAACGCTTTCCCAAAATTGGCTTGGGCGTAACATCCTGTTCTTTCCACTTAACTTGCTTATTAAAGCGATCCAACTTTTTACCGCTTTTGTGAAATAAAATCGAACGGACCGCGATGAAATTTCGATCGAGTTTCGATATTGAAGTTTTTGTTTACGCGTCGAAACTCGACTCGACTCGACTCGAGACGAGACGAGGTTGTATATAAAAATAATTGTACCGTCCGAATCGATTCTTCAACGTTCTTCCTCCGTGATCCTTCGCCGTTAAAGCGAAAAATGAAATTAATCGAGGCGTTGCGTGGAACGCGTGCTCGTTCCGTTCGCTATCTCTATTTCGTTCTATCGTCAATTAGTTATATGTTAAATTATTTGTCGCACATCTGTGCAGAGAGGGAAAAGAGGGAAAAAAAGGGCAGATAGTGAACGAAATAATAATTATTGGCGACGCTTGTTTCCACACAAATGCAAATCGGTCGCGAAGCAGCGACGAGTGGCTCGTTAAATGTTCAATTTGATACACGAGTATATGCAAATCGACCTATGTCTTCCCTGTAAAACGAAGAATCGAGATTCTTGTTAAACTCGAGATCGTTTTCACCCGATTAACTCGAACGTGTCTACTCTCTCGAGTAGAATAAAATAGTCTACTTACGTTTCATTCGTAATTAGATATTTCGATGTTTGAATTAATCCGAGACGAATGTTAAGATAGATTCGAAGAAGAAGATATATGATCGAAAAAAAAAAAAAAGAAAAGAGACGTGTCATAGAGTCATAGATTTTATAAATTTGGCGACGCACACGAACGATCGCGTCGATATACGCGATCGGTTTTTCACAGCGACGACGAGTCGAGTCGAGTGAAATCGCCATCAATTTTCCCCTGTGCCAAACGCGAGAAATCGTCCCCGGCTGGCAGCCGGATCTAGAA